TCATCTGGCCTTAACATCTTGTAACTTTGCATTATCTATAAGCAAGCCACCCACATCATCATTTTCAACAACATGAAAGGTGGGTGCCCAGCTTTGCGGGTAAAAATTTGCTGGGTACCTACTCTGTCCACGTCCTGTGTTTGGCTGAATTTAGTGGGTGTCAAAAAAGAGGAAGAGAAGCAAAATGAAGAGACATGCCAGACAGATTTCAGAGCCAGAATTTGTGAAAAGTTGTCCAGATTCATAGCAAACATTTAAGACCTAGCATCTCGGGCCTCAGCGAGAGGAGGATTTACAACACAGCATATCCAAAATATTTTACTATCGGTGGAGCCCTTAGATAGAATACTGAAAAAAAAAAAAAAATCCCCCATCCATAGGAAGGGAGATCAAAAGAAAGAAAGCCTTCTTTCCACCCTGGAGGTGCTTTTTATTATGCCAAGTATAAAGCAAGAGAGTCCTTGGACAATTTTTTTTTATTGGAGTCTGAGTTTGAAATCTGTGGCACATAAACAAATAAGTTAATGTCCTCAACCTCATCAATTTAAAAAAGTCAGACCAGTTATGTATTTTTGCCTGAAGACAGTTGGCTGAACTAAAGGCTATTTTAAAGCCCACTTCAGCTCCAAGAGGTCTGGTTCCGTGATAAACCGCTCAAGTGCACAGAAAACACCATACCCTCATTGGCCTTCCCAAACAAATCCAGTTTTCTCTTGAACACAGTTGAAGGATGGTTTGCTGTGCCTTTTGTTTTGGAAGTTTAGGGAGGTTTCCATGGTTTCTGTGTCTTCTTGGTCTCTTTTTCTGTGTATCAGCTTGACCACAGATTATCGGAGGCCAACGCTATCAGCTCGTTGGATGTATGTCCCTTAGGCACGCATTCCATGGAGGCGGTATAAATTGGCTGTGGGGGTGACATAATTTTAGATAATTCATTGGCTTCTGGTCCACCAAGGGGCCATCATACATAAACAGAAAGTTTGCGGTATTAAAATTTCCTACTTGGTGGGCATTTAGCAAAAAAAAAAAAAAAAAAAAAAAAGATATACCTATAATGACGTGGAGAGAATAATGATGAAAAACTAGGTGAGTAATACTGTCTGGGGGGCAAAGAGGGCAAAGAGTCCTCAGGGATTTGAGATGTGTTGGGCAAGACTCTGGTGTATCAAATACACCTTTATTTACTTAGTTATTTAGTTAGTTTGTTCGTTTTTTAGTTTTAAAAGTCTGTATTTAAAGCATAACATCCACCCTTTCTTTCTAATTTACCACAGGACACTTTCTGCACATGTTTAAATACAGACCTTTTCAAATTCAATGCAGTCTTATAAAACTCAACTGATGCTGAGTCTTTTCTCGTGACTAAAGGCATATTGTGGAAAGCGACTCTCTCTTTTGAGGTCAGACTATCCCGTATGGGATTCTGGCATCCAGGTCTTGCAGGAGGGTGTGGAAGAGGAGTCATCGAGCCCCAGAAAGACAGACAGGTTCAATTGCAGATTCGCTTTGGATTAGCCTTGTGGCGAGAGGCAAGTCGCTTAAAGCCTCTAAACCCAGTTTCTCACCTGTAAAGCAAGGAAACAAATGCTTTACCTTGTGGGGTTGTTACAGGGTTTGAGATGAGGGGCACGTGCTGTTTTTGAGTTAGGCAGAGAGGCGCAGTCAATAATGACTGGGTAGAAGAGAACAAGACGCGCAGGGGTCCTGTTTTGCCAAACTTGGCGAACATCCTGTTTGAGTTCCTGCTGCTGTCATTAAAAAAAAAAAAAAAAAAAATCTTGCAGGCAGAATGTAGCCCCTGACCAGTTCCAAGAATGAAGTATTCAAAAGCATAGTAGGTAGCTTTCAGAGTAAGACTTGAGCTTTGTATCAACCAGGGGACATCAGGACCATCAGAGATACCATCGAAGCAATATTTCTCCTGCTCCATAAACATCACCATGATTCATTCCTTTAATGAAAACGTCAGGGGCTGGTGCAGGCACAACAGCTGTGATTTTATGAAGGGAACATAAGCCAGAATTCCTTGTGGTGGGGCTGTTGCCACCAGGGGTCAGATCTAGATTATGGGTGGAGCCTGGAGTTATCCTACAGTGACAGAAACGGGATTAGACAGCAAATACCTTGAAATAACTCTCTGTTGTTTAAGGTGAGAAAAGCTCACACAGTACCAAACCACACTAAGCCTATTTAAGTAAGGGCTTCCGTGTCTTTGGGCTGAGGTCCAGTTGAGTGTCTGGAGAGGGAAGAGACAATGACCCCAGTTATCTTGAAGCTTACGCTGGATGTGGGTTGTCCACTCACCTCATGTGAGCACATTCGCTGTTGCCACGAATCAAGGGCTTTTCTCCCCAGTGTTATAAATGGGAATGGGTAAATATTGTGGATTCATCAGCCTCCAAGTATTCTTCAGATGTTTTATGATCGAGCAAACAGACTACATCGCGCTGAGTACATTCTCCCTTTTGTTTTTTTAAGGGTGATTTATGGGAAATGGAATCCATATGTTTCTGCTTCATTTACACTTAAGTCATCACAAGGTTGTGTTGTAAGAGCTATTTGATGTCCAAGATGCCCTCTGAGCTTGTTTTTTTGTTTTTGTTTTTTGTTTTTTTTGTGGTTGTTAAGTATAAGCTTCTTAACGGTGTCGGTCCTTTTAAAAGGCAGAGAAAGAGAGACACAGAGACATGCACAGGCCTGTTTTGCCTATGAAATAGATTTGAACTGTAGGAAGTTCAGTTTAAGCTGAAACTACAAACCCATGAATTTCAAATGGGTCCAGAATTTGCAAGAGAACAAAGACTCCTCCGTGCCCAGTTCCAGAAGCAGCTCTGATAAGTGCAGAAAAGCAGCTGGCAGCTCACCACCCCACCAGGAAGAGAGGGCTTCGAAGGTGCGGTGAGCTTCCGGGCTAACACGTGTGCCCGCGGCCGGAAGCTGTTGTTTGCGGTCCTCCGCAGAGCAGTGTCCCCAGTCGGGATAAAGAACTCTTTGCCCTATTTAAGCACGGCAGTATCTGTTCTCCGTGTTTTCCCGGGGCTGTCCTGCCCTCGGCCAGCGTTTCCTATCTGTTCTCCTGCCATCTGGCCCAAAGAGCTGGCCACTGAACTGGGATACTGTGTGTGCACTGGGGAGGGTGTTTATTTATTGGGCAATTTCTTTAGAAATGTCTCACTGAGCTCACAATAGGGCCGAGAAAACACGGAGTTTGGGTAAAGTACAAAATAGGGTAACTAGGGACCCACAGATAAGTAAACCCACAGATTCGTAAAAAGCCCAGTGTAAAACCAAGTTTTCCTGGGGCATCTGGGTGGCTCAGTTGCGTAAGCCACTGACTCTTGGGTTTGGGCTCAGGTTATGATCTCACAGTTTAGGAGATCGAGCCCAGAGCTGGGCTCTACACTGAGAGTGGAGCCTGCTTGGCATCCTCTGTCTCCCTCTATCTCTCTGCCCTTCCTCCGTGCTCTTTCTCTCTGTCTCAAAATAAGTAAATAAATTTTCAATAAGTAAGTAAAACTAAATTTTCTTTCTCTCACTCTTAGGATAGCTCTTAAGTCCTTTTAGGCATGCTTTATCACTTATCTGTGGCATTTTATGAAAGGTTTCAGAAGAAACACATCCATTCGGAACTATTTTAAGTGATAGTGTGATTGAGATATCATTAAATCTCTGTAGAGTGTGTGTACATATGTATGTATGTGTGTGTATATATATATTTTCATATGTATGTGTATATATATGTATACATATATATTCATCTTTAGAGAATTAGAGATGACAGAATATGGACTTTAATAATCCAGCAGGGTCTTTAGATGCGGTATACAGTCACTTCAACAGAAGTCACAGTTCTGTGAATTACTTATATATCCTAATTCAATTATCTGGGTGTAAGGGACAGTGTTTTAGAATCTTAGAGGTTAGGGTTTTTTCCCCCCAACTCCTAATCTTAAGGAACATTTAACAGACTACTTCCAACATCATTTTCCAGTAACTACCACTGTTAACCTTTGGGTATCTGTTCTTTGAGTTAAGCACATGCCTGTGCACACATATGCACACACGCAGTTTGATGAGATTGTAGTGTTTTTTCTGTTTTGTGGCTTCTCTTTTCAAAAACATACAGTGGCCTTTCCCCATGTTTATAAACTGTTTTACCTCTTGAGCTTTAGTGCATGCAGACTATTTCATCATAGAAATGTACCACAATTAGCTTAACGTCTCAGAGTATTTTTAAATACAGGGCCTAAAAAATAGTTCTTTCAGATACGTTTTAAAATGTTGACTTTAGTTTTTAAAGTTGTTTGCTCTAGGCACACCTGTGTGGCTCAGTGAGTTAAGTGACTAACTTTTGAGTTAGGCTCAGGTTATGATCTCACAGTTTGTGAATTCGAGGCCTGTGTTGGGCTGTGCACTCGCTCACAGCGTGAAGTCTGCTTGGGATTCTCTCTCTCCCTCTCTCTCTTTCTGTCCTCCCCAACTCGTGCTCTTCTCTCTCTCTCTCTCTCATGCTTGCTCTTTCTCTCTCTCAAAAATAAATAAACATTAAAAAAAGAAGTTTGTTCAGCATAACTTAGGACACATTAGAAAATAAACTACCCATAACTTCTACAACTTATATTTCCTTCTACATCTACCCTTTGAGAGCCATGGAAAATACCCGTCTCTGTCTTTAAGAGCCCAGGCCTCCTCACTATACATATGCTTTTTAAAGACCCTAGAAAGTTTCAGTAAGATAGTAAATTTTGTTTCTTCCCTCTTAGGTAAAAAAACAAGTTGTTTCCGCTCCATTCCCACTCTAAGAAGAGCCTTGTGATTTCAATTCATGCGCCTCTCTCCTTGCTGGATGCTTTGTCCATTGGTAAACTTCCTGGACTCAACTTAAAAGAAAGCTGAAATCCATACCTGTTTTACTGTTGGTTTCCAAGGTTCTTCATCACTTGTTGTGGATCTTTCCAGTCCGTTACTAGAGAACTCAGTCCTGTCCCTTTTGTTGACAGGTTGCCAGGATACCTCTAGGCGACGAAGGCTGGGGCTTCTCTTTCAGGCAGCCACACACACTGTCCCAACTCTTGCAAGAGGAAATGTGAATTGTGGCATGCCCAGCTAATTCTGCCTGTTTCCACCAACCCCTTCCCTGAGGGGCTCAGCTGGCCATGCTAAAAGCTGAAGTAGAAGGGTGAAAACAAGTATCACAAGGTGAGGCTCTCTCAGAAGGCATGCTTATTCTCTGTTGTCTAACAAATCAGTCTCCAAACATACCTTTCAGCTAATCATAAATTCTTATTTCAGGTAATCTTCATCTCCATTCTGTCTCACTGTTATGTAGTAAATACTTTCTCATGATCGAAAAGGAATCCAAAATAAAATAATTAATCGTTCGGGGAAAAAAAAACAAGTACTGCTACACAGAAAAACAAATACCATTTTACTTCATAGGATGATGCCAGCAATAATGTGAACTATGGATTATTACATATTTTAGTGGCTAAAAGAGAACCGAATTCCACTTGAAGCAATAATAGTATTTCAGCCTGTAATGATTTAAAAATAATTTTCTTCAAAGAAAGGCAGAAAAAATATGTTTTATGTTAATCCAGGATTATATGTTTCTTAACCAAATTATCCTTGAAAGAAAAAGGGGTGATAAGGGCTATAGTTACTCAACTGACTCGGCAGATATTTTATTGAGATAAAATGTACATGGAGAAATGTAACTGATCTTGAGTTCTTAAATTCAAATTCCTAAAATCAGGGAGTTTGACCAATATATATATAACCATGTAAACCATCGCATTAATCAAGAAACAGGACATTTCTATCACCCAGAAAGTTTCTTCAAACCCTTTCCAGGGAATTATCCTTCTGTGAGCAACCATGTTCTGATAACTTGCACCAGAGAATGATTCGGCTGTCCATGTCCATATGAATAGACTCACACAGTGTATATTCTTGGATCTAACTTCTTTGACTCAGTGGAATGCTTTTGAGATCATTCCATATTGCTATGTGTATCACTAGTTCAATTCTTTTTATAGGCGAGTGTTACTATATTATAGGATTATTCTACATTTGTTTACCTATTCTCCTATTCATTAATGTTTGGCTTATTTCTCGTTTGAGTCTCCTATAACTAAAGCTGCTGTATCCATTCTCATACAAGTCTTTTGGTAGGCATAGGTTTTCCTGTTTCTTAGGCTCAGACCCAGGATAGAAATTGAAGATAGATGTATGTTTAACTTTATAATGGGTATGAAATGATAAGTCGCTGTGGTTATAATTGGCTTTTCCCTGACTAACCAAGTTGAACATTTTTATGCGAGCTTGCTTGAAGACTGGTATCTTGCTTTTATTAAGTTCACATTCTTTGTTCATTCTAGAGATTTCTTTTCTTGTTTATATCATCTTTACCAACATGTAATTCACCTCCAGTAACGTGCACACATTTGAAGTGCACAGTTGGATGAGTTGTTACAAATGATCACATCCATCCAACCACCAGTGATATCAATATAAGAGCACATCCATCGACATTTGCACTGCGTTCTCTGCCCACCCACCTATCCGTGAGCAATCACCAATCCATTTTCTGCCACTTGCAGATCAGCTTTGCCTGTTGTAGGGTTTCATATATGGAATGATTCGGCATATACTCTTCTTTCCTGATTGTTTTTATTCAACAAAGTATTTTTGAGTGGGATCTATGTCATTAGATGCATCAGCAATTAGTTCATTTTTATTGTAGGGTAATATTCCATTGCATGGATATTCCATAATTTGTTTACTTGCTTACCTGCTGATGGACACTTGAGTGGTTGCTTAAAATTTTTCACTATTAAGAGCAAAAGGTGCTGCAAACATTTGTACATATATGTCTTTTGTGAATATATGTTTTCACTTCTCTTGGCTACTTATTTAGGGATAGAATGTCCACGTCAGTAAGTAGGTATAGGCTTAACTTTGTGAGATTCTGCCAAACTGTCCTCCAGAGTGTTTATATATTTCACACACACACCTCCCCCCCACCCCGCCCCCACCACACACACACACAAGCCTATAAGGGAGTTCTGGTATTTCCACATCTTCACCAACACTTAGTATTAGCAACCTTTCTAATTTTAGCCATCTTAGTGTGTGGTATTTCTGATTTTAGTTTGGATTTTGCTTATGACAAACAGCTAATGATGTTGAATTTTATTTCATGAATGAATGGACTATTTATACTTTTCCTGTTGTGCAGAATCTATTCAAAGCTTTTGCTCATTTTTAAAAATTGGGTTGTTTGAAATTTGTTTATAGGTACGTGTATATATGTTATATGTAAATCCATTTCAAATATTTGTCTTATAAATGTTTCTTTCCAATCTATAGCTTGGCTTTTAAAGAGCAGAAGTGTCTAATTGACATGAAGGAAAATTTTTAATTCTTTTTCTTTTAAGTTTAGTGCTGTTTTATGTTTTGTCTAAGAAGTCTTGGTACTTATCGAGATCATAAGGATATTCTCCTATTTATTTTCTTCTAGAAACCTTATAGCTTTCATACTTGTACATGTTATATATGATAGTTTTTATATTTAGTTCTATGACCCGTTTTGATTTAAGTTTCATGTGTGGTGAAACCAAAGAACTGCTATTAACTTTTCCCCAACATGTATCCAACTCTTGGCCATCATTTGTTTAAAAGATTTTCCTCCCGCCATTAAATTGTCTTAGCATCTTTGTCAAAAATCATTTGACTGCATATGTGAACCAGCCATATATTTCTGGGCTCTCTTCTGTTACATGAACTTTTTTTTTATCTGTCTTTATTGGCATTGTTAATTTTTAATAAGCCAGCTCCTCTTGGCTTATAAGTAATGCAACACATATTAAAAACAAATATTCAAGTGGAGCCTTTCCATGACTTATTGCCAATGGAACTATGCACAGGAGTTTGAGTTAGGTTGGGCATTGTTTCCTGCCTGTTGTCCACATTTCTCCCTTGGCAATAATCTGATTTTAAGTGATTCTATAATGAACAAAGCCCCAAGAACATAGAGTCAGAAATGTATTCAAGAATGATAATCCCAGCAAAATAGATAGATATTTTCCAAAGCGTTTATACAGAATGATACGTGACCTTAATTTTACTTCATTCATTCAATAGTTTCTTGAGTGTCTACTACATTCCAGGCCCTGTTTTGGACAAGGAAAGAGGGAAGGAGAATATTTCTGGGTTCATAATTTTTGCAAGGAAACATTTATAATCTCCACTCTATTGCCTGTTTAATATCATATTCCTCATAATTATAGAGGAAAAAAAATCTGCATTGGGTAAAGTAAACATCAGACTAAATGTCTTCATACATCCCTATGAATTGACAGCAAAGTATCAACACTCAAGTGTTTACAAAGGTACATCATTCCCTCAGGTCTTCCAAGTGTCCCATCACTGTCAAAAACTTCCTTTTCCTCTGAGCCTCAGAATATAAACGATCGTTTCTGTCATTTGCATTTTCCAGCTTATTGTAGAATTAGAATTTCATATATGATTTCTAAGAGAAATTTCTCTGCCGACTGGACCTCAATATGGCCAGACGTAATGTCATCTAAATAATTTCCCCAGCTTCTCTGATGAATGAAACATTTTCTAGAATATATGAAAATCTAAAACAAAACGAAACAAAGTGTAAGTGGTGAAGAATGCAAACAGTTCCAGAACACCCTTCCTGAGGAAGCAGGTGGTGATTCCTGTGGAGTCTTAAAAACACACCAGCATTTCCTAAATACCCCAGCATACAAGTGTGGCACAACATATAACATACGGCGTGTTGGCGCAGCAGGGAGGGAGAATGTACGGGAAGCAAGCTTTTGAGAGGTGGAAAGCGATGATGAGCCACAAATAAAATGTCCAGAGTGCAGCGAGGGTGAGAGGTGTTTCGGAGAGAAGATACTATGGGGAGTCTGATGGGAGTCCTTCGCAAGCAAAACTTGGTAGAGTTCTGGCAGTACTGAGTGCTCTTTTGTGAGTTCACACTGATTCATGATGGGTGTTTCACTGTTAAAATAAAATGGAGTCTCATTTGTATGCTCTAATTCAGGAGCCCTCAAACTTTTCCTTTCGAATGCTCAGATAGTAAGTAACTTGGACCTTGGAGGCCATATACTCTGCAGTTGTGGGGCAAACGCAGCCAAAGTTAAACACATAAATGAATAAGCATGACTCTGGTCCAGTAAACCCTTATTTACAAAAGAAGTAGACAGCTGGCCAAATTTGGCTAGTGAGCCGTAGTTTGCTGACCCTTGTCTCATCTTCGGTTCTGAGGAAATACCTTCCAATTTCATATATTGACCTTTAAAGGCCTCTGGCCTTTAAACTGTTGGCTTTGAAACTGTTCTTCCTCTGAGTGCCCAGTATTCTGTGGTTCTCTTCAAAAGAGATATGACTTCCAAGGAGAATTAAACTTTGAAAGTCATCTGCACTCAAAATGCATGTGATCAAGAGAGACCACATATGAATGAGCTCAGCGCAAGAAAGCCAAATTCTCAGGTCCTTCTTCAGCTTTCTGCCTAATCATACGGCCTCCAGTGCCTGATCTAGTCATACATCACTTCTGTCTATCTGTCTATCTCCCTGTCTGTCTCCCTTCTTGAGGGAAGATCCAGGCCATCGATGCTGTTGCTCATTAGTTAATAAATAGTCTTTCCCATGAGGTCCAGTACATAGTCCTTGGCTGGATTCTCATTTCCCTTGGATTTGGTAGGGTTAGACTGCTAAAGCTAGAAAACCAATTCCTAATTCCTTGAGGATTACAAGGAGCAAGGGTTAGAGGGTCAGGTATCCCCAAGATTTGAAAAAATACCACAACACTGGCTATTAGCCCTTCCTTTCCAAAAGTCCTGTTAATAATGTTTTCACCCCTCTATTTAAATACATTGATTCCTGTTTAAACTTTTTAAAAAATTTTAATATAAAATCCAGCTAATCTCAGTCACCTCATTCAACATTCAGTTTTATTTGGTTAGCACCCACTCTGTGCCTAGGACTAGGGATATAACTATGTAGAGAGAAAATGAGTCCCTAATGTCTTGGAGTTTACATCCAAGTGAAGGAGACAAATTCTATACAAGCAAATAAACAAGACAAAAATATAGTAAGTGCTGTGAAAAATATAAAGAACAAAGTCACTGTGGTAGTATCTGTCGAAGACGGTGCAGAGG